GGAAGGCAGAGAGGGTTAGGAGCTGGTTGAATGGACATGGGGAATCGGGTGGAAAGGAGGAGTGTGCTATCATAGGATGGGGAGAGCAATTAGGGTTACATAACAATGTATGTACAAATTTTTATATGTGAAAAAAATAAAATTTTTGGGATGGTGGGATGGGTATCTAAATTTAGCAACTAAGCAAGCCTGGAGAGTAACACTTAATTTTTTTTTTTTTTTTTTAAATATTAGTCACTCAGCTTTGTGTAGCACATTTGTGGTGATTTTTATTGAATTTCTTTTTATGATTTCTAATTTAAATTGTACACTTTACCTTAAGGTATTTTATAAATACCTCAATGTGTCTGACATATTTAGGGATGATAAACTATTGATGATAAACAGGTATTTAGATGAACAAACGCTCCCTGACCATCAAAAAATTCATATACCAAAACAAAGTATTGATATAGATGATGTGTATAAGAAACATATTGAAAATATATTAAGCAAAATACAAACAATTTTGTACTATGTCTGCTCTTTTATTGCTTATGGCGTAGGGTGAACATGCACGTTTGGGAGTTGAGTTAAGGAAGAGGGACTACTCTGAAGGTCCTCTCATCTATCAATAACCCTTATATACTACTGTGTTATGGGTAACCCACATCTCAAGGATCATCCTTTCTTTTTATTTTATTTTGCTGTTGTTGTTGAGAATATATGCAGCAAAAGATGCACCAGTCCAGCAATTTCTACATGTACGATTTAGGGGCATTGATTACGTTCTTCAAGTTGCACAACCATTCTCACCTTCCTTTTCTGAGTTGTTCCTCCCTCATTAACATAAACTCACTGTCCCCCTAAGGTTGCTATCTCGCCAGGTGCTGTTGTCAATTGGGATCATAGGAGACCTGGTGGCATAGTGGTTAAGAGCTCGGCTGCTAACCAAAAAGTCAGCAGTTCAAATCCACCAGCTGCTCCTTGGAAACCCTTTAGGGCAGTTCTACCCTGTCCTATAAGGTCGCTATGACTGGACAACTCGACGGCAGCTTTTTTTTTTTTTAATTTTCTGTACCCCACCACCAACTCCCCATAATTTTCAAATTCAAAATAATTGATGACTAGTGTAGATTTTGTTTTGACTTAAAATGACACAGTCTTTTCACTGTTAAAGTTGCTGCTACTTGAACTGGACGGGTCTGTTACTGGATTGGAGAAAAATGGGTTTCTGTTATTCCCAGATTGGAAGTCTAAGTGCACTTTTCCATAGAAACTGTTTTTGATGATAGTTAAATATAGCTGAAGTGGTATACGCAACCCTAATTTTAAAAATCAGACTTCTCCTTTCTGGAGTTTTGGCCTCAGACTTCCTTAATTACAGAGTAAGTAATCTGGAAGTAAAATTTCTCTTCTGCAAAACAGGACTTTTCAAGTGATCATATATTCTTACTAAACACAGTTACTTCCTTGAAACGTACCTCATTTTCTCCAGCTTGAAGTAGGCTGTTTCTCCTCTGTACTCTGACCTTTTTAAAAATCAAATTCTACTTTATGTTAATGTGGTGTGCAGATTTTATCATCCCAACTATACTGTACATGGCTTGAAGGCAGACTTTGTTGTTTATCTTTGTATCTATTATCAACAGTATCTTGCCCAGAGCTTTGCATGCAGTAGGTGCTCAGTAAAATACATCAAATACTTTAAAAAGGCTTTAGATGGTAGATACCAAAGCAGTGTGTTTTAAAATAGCAATGACAGGAAATAACTTTTTATAGGGCATAAGGTATTTAAATTGACTTTTGAGATAGAGGGACTCCTAAGGCCAGGTGTTTTGATTTCTGATGAATGGAAGTTATGGCCTTGCAGTTTATAAAACATATTAGTTTAATTTTTGGAATTCAAAATATGTTCTTTTATATCTGTCTAGAAAATTCAGCCCACATATAGGACAGTTTGCTTGTTAATATTCCAAATTACTGATCCTTCTGAGAGTCACTGATCCTTTTGAGAATCTGACTGATTGAAGTTAGCCTAGGCTAACCCACACACACTCTAAAAAATATACTCACATCTACACAGATAATTCTCTATACTATTTTAGAGGGCTTATAGACCCCATGTTAAGAACTTTTGCTTTAGATTCTGGCGTAGACTATAACTGACTAGTTAACAGACTACATGATATAATAAAAAAAAAAATACTATACAAAATAACAATTGATCTGAGTGAGTTTTAGCTCTGGTTGTACCACTGATTAGTGTGGTCCATTTTGCAGGTTATTTAACCTCTCCTTACCTGTTTCTTCATCTGTAATGTGAAGTTAGTGGATAAGATTAAATGGATTAGTATATGCAATATACTTAGTATGGTGCCTGGTACGTAGTATGCTTCCCAGTTCCTACTCTTTATTTCTACTGTCTCAAAGGATTTCTGAATTTTGTTGATGCCCCTTACTTCTAATTTATTACCTTTCCTTTAACAAAGTTACTTAGCTACATACATTTTTAAACTTGAATAATAGTCAACTTATTCTGGTAACCTTAAGGCAAGTAGTAAAGCTGTATCGTGACCTTTTGATGCCTCTGTACAGACAATAGTAAAAGAGGTACCCAAAACTGCTATCTTACTACAATGTTACAATTGAAAATTCAGAATCAGAGGAAATATGTGCCTATCAGTTTGTAAAAGTAACAGGGAAGTAAAGGACACTGAGAAAAATCTACTTAAAGATGTTATATTAGTATACTGGACTTGTTAAAGCAGGTTCCCTATAATTATATTTGTTAAGAATTTCAGCCATTTCAGAGGTCAGATGTATTATGTCTTATTGAAAATCCATTATTCTTAATGTAAAAAGTTTTATCAAAACAGAGATTTCATTATTATCTATGTCAGTAGCAAATAAGTTGTATTAAAAATCTGTAACTTTAGTGTATTACCTGGTAAGCCAACACCTTTTTTTTTTTTTTTTAAACTCTAATTAGGGAAGAAGACAAAAATATATTCGATTACTGCAGGGAAAACAACATTGGCCATATAACCAAAGCCATCAAATCAAAAAATGTGGATGTGAATATGAAAGATGAAGAGGTATGAAAAACATGCTCTGTTAATTATTTTCTTATGCTTTGTTGTTGTGTCCCAAGGCCTTTTTCTAAATGACACATCTATGAACCACAACGCAAACAGTATGGTTAAGAGCAAATCAGAATATCTAAACGAGATGGTGTCCCCCAGTTAAGATACTTTCTGTGTCTGTATTTAGCATGTTGCTGTTCATGAAGAAGTTACTAGCTGAAATTTCCAGCAGTCAAATAACTTCCATTTGTTTATGATAAAGGGAGAGACTGTTAGCATAGTAAGTAGAAGCTATAGGTAATATCAAAATCTCATTTATAAATAACTTTAGCGTGTTCTATCATTATACCTTAAACAGATACATTGTACTTTTTTCAGTACATGTATTTCTAAGAAACTGTCAGAATTTTTATAAATCCAATAATTTAAAATCCACTATTAAAAAGTTCTCCTTAATTTGTTTGCTTTGTGACTAAAACTGTTAACATACTGAGTTTAAACTGTCCCTGCATTATAGTTGTAAAATTTACTAATTCACTTTTAATCATCTTTTTCATTTGTTCGGTGATGCTGTGAAAGGTGATTGAAATGGCCAAAAGGTTTGGTAATTGTTGGGACGAGGGTATGCAGTGATCATAGATAATTTGTAGAGTAGATAAATAACCACTTATGTATAGTTGAGAGTTGCCTACACAGATTAACTATACATAATTTTATCTCACTTTTAATAATGTTATCTCATTTTTAGGCAATGTCTTTCCTGTAATATATTATCAATGACATCTGGTATTGAAAAAGTAAGACTATACACTTTTACAGTAAAAGGGTACCAGTAACACTGTTTGTTTTCCACTAAGTAATGAAACAAACAGAGCCAAGAAAGATATGGCTGGAGAAAAACAGAAGCCAGATCATGAAATAATAAAACCGTATATTCGCATTCCAACTAGTGTTCTTCTTTTTGCCTTAACAAATAAGAATACTTTTTGTTTTTTTAAGTAAATAAACATGATTACTCCCCTTGATTTTATTGTTGTTGTGGTTTTTTTTTTTTTTTGTGTGTGTGTGTGTGTTCTCGTACGGGTATGTGCATGCTTGTGAGTTAAGAGTTTTATAAAATTAATACATGTAGATTTTTTAAAAACCAAGTAGTACTATAAGTCTTATAACAAAATACCCCCTTGCCTGCATCCTGCTCACTTTTGATTCTAGCTCCTTTGAGGCGAGAACTTTCCATTCTTTTAGTTGTTTCTTCTTCAGTTTAGCTATATAATTCTAAATATTTGTATCCCTTGATTTTTCAACTTTAAATACTATTATTGATTTTCCTGTATTTATATTAGGATTTAGTTGTTTTATTCCTTTTCCCCTCTATCTCTACTTTCACTCTCTTAACATGGTTATATCACAGCTGTTAGTTTCCATTTTCTAATTGAGTATATATTGAATCAATGTTTATATTACTATTACTGTGTAAGTATTGTTCATTGCTGAGCCATGTGCTGTACTGTGTGTATTAGTACAGTACAGCTATAGCAACAAAAATGATTTCAGTGGCTTGCAACAACAAAGAATTATTTCTTGCTCATATTTCAGAAGAGTTTGGGTCAGCTGAGGGTCTGTTGGATTCTGCTAGCCTTGGTTGGCTCAGCTCTTCTTGATTTCACGTGTCTTCTTATTCTGGGAGCCAACTTCAATGAATAGACACTATCTGGGGCGGAAGCCTAAATGAATGTTTTGAGATCCTGCTTGTTGAAAATGTTTCTGTAAGAGTTCTTGGCATATACTCCATGCTGAGTAAATATTTGGTGAATTAATGAATGATTGAATGAATGGATAAGTAGAAGCAGCATTGCATACTGGTTAAGAGGTGGACTACATGGGTTCAAGTCTTAGCACTGTCTCTTCCTAGCTCTGTGACCTTTGTCAGATTTACTCTGGGTCTCAATCTCCTAATCTGTAAAATGGGAATAATAATAGTACCTGCTTTAGGATTGTTTTGAGGATTACATGAGTTTGAAATATAAAGCACTTGAACAGTACCTGACACACACATAGAACACTCAATAAATTTTAGATATTATTACTGTTAATGAATAATATGAATGAAGAATGGTAATAATGATAATAATATAATGAAATGAATGAAGAAGTCACTTAACTTTTCAAGATCATTGTTTTTTCACTGAAAGTTATTGTGTGTGTACTGTGTGCTCCCTTTTAGAGTTTTTCATCTTTCAAATAATAAATAATACTTTACATAGTGTCTGTTATATTTTAGAGTACTTTTACTTATTGACGTATCTTCACAACAATCCTGTAAGGTAGGTACATGTTATCATCATTTTATAGACAGGAACTGAAGTTTAGAGATGTTCATTTACTTACTCAAATGCATACAACTGATAAGCAGAAATTAGTTCTGAGAGAGCATTCTTTCCTTCACTGGATTTAAGAAGGATAAACAATTTCCAGTTGGCCCTGCTTGATTTGCAACAATTTGTTTTATAAAATAGCATTATAAGTCAAATCTACGTGTGACCTTTACAGAGATCGTGATCATTGGACAACAGTGATAGGGATAGAATAAGTGTCTAAAACACAAATAATTTACACTAAACATGATTTGTTGTGAAAATAAAAGGAACACTTACAAAATGTATTGCTTCTGTCATTTAGTTACTTTGATGCAGTACTGCTCTCCAGCTCTTCCAGTTTGTCACCCATGCATCTACTTTTACCCCCAGCCTGCCAGAACATTGTGTTTCCATGAACAGATGAAGTGCTTACACATTCATAGACTGAGACACCAAGAATTCAGTTGGGTTCTCTTATTGCTCCAAGCAGATTTCTGCCCTCTGAGCCATGACAGCTCAGGCTGGGCTTTGAATACTGATGGCAGGACCTTTTATTATTAATCAAGGATTCATATGAATTAATTTAAGAACATGAAAGAGGTGGGAGCTTCAAATCTGAATCAAACTTAACATTCTAAATAAAATAAGTGTACTACTTTGTGACTTTTAAAACTCTAGCAAATAAAACAATAGCTTGGTAAGCTTTGATGATGAACTAAAGGTATATAACCTCAGAATTAAGTTATTAGCTAAGTACTCTTAACCCCTTATCAGTAAAAAGACGTATCTCTACAATAACAATTTTGGGAACAATTGTAGTTTTGAAAGTACATTAATTCTTTGTGTTTATCTGTCTGATATTTGAACTTGAGATATTTCACTACTGATCGCCTAAGATTCTTTGAGATGGCCGATATTTTTATTTAAAGTGTTCATCTAGTAGGTTCAACTCCACTTCAGTCTTTCCCTTGGGATGACTGAAAATTTGCTATGAGCACGTAAAGGAATTTAATTATAGTCAAAAAACGATAAGCTATATTTGGATTCCCACATATTGAAATAAACAAAATTATTATATTGCTTGAAATGCATGTATATATCATCATATCTTTTATTCATTTAAATTGTAATTACTATTACTATATTAAGGCATATATTTTTAATTTAAGAAAATTAAGTGGTATTTCCTACTGATACAGTAATTAGGGCATTGTCTATATTTCACATAATAGAAAAAGAAAGTTTTATAATTTTACTTAGTTTTCAGGAAGCTGTTCGGGGGCAGTGGTGGTTCAGTGGCGGAATTCTCACCTTCCATGTGGGAGACTGGTTCAATTGCTGGCCATTACTTCTTCAGTGCAGCCACCACCTCTCTTGTCAGTAGAGGTTTGCATGTTGCTGTGGTGCTGAACAGGTTTCACTGGAGCCTCCAGACTAAGACAGGCTAGAAAGAAAGACCTGATGATGTCCTTCACAAAAATCAGTCAGTGAAAACCCTATGGATTTCAACAGCCCAATCCCTTTGTTCATGGGGTTGCCATGAGTCCGGGACCAGCTTGATAGCAGCTAACAACAGCATGTATGCACCAGATGTTTCATGGTCTAAGTTTATTGCACTGTGGTGTTATATGTTAAATTACTAATTTTATTATATTTTTAATCATTTGCAGAAATACTTTGAAATTGAGGTAGAAAATATGAAGACAAAAGTGAAGGCAAAGATCCTAAAGCCTATTAATTTCTTAAAATGGTGGTTCCGTTTTGTATTTTGAACCGTATTAATACAACTCTTCACACATGCCAAATATTTATGGTTCTTCCAGAAAACGTCTTTTAAGGGGAGAAGATTATTTACATAATTTGCAGAGTTTAAGATATGAACAGAATATTTCTTATCAAGCATCAAGCACAAATTATATTTGCATAATTTGTTTCAGAATTATGTCTGCATAATTCTTGTCACACACACATTATTTCTTAGATCAATGCCATATACAATAGACACTAAATACATGCTTATTGATGACATTTAAATAGTATTTTAAATCCTTACATTAATTTAAATTTGCTTTAAACAAATGTAGCAATGTAATTTTATTTTTAGCAAAATAGATTATTCCAATGCAACTGTCATCAGCCCCCCCCAAAAAGTATTCATACACATTTAAGTGGTTTCCTATAGGTTCTCCTCTAATCCATGCAAAATTCCTCTTTATTGAGCTACTTCTTTAGTTAAGTTCTTTCCTTTCTATCCTTTTAAAGGTATAATTGTTGTCAGTAGCCATTCTCTGTATGTTTTTGGTTCTTTCATGTACTTTGAAGGAGGTTACCTTTCTCTTAACTCCCATTCTTTTCTCTTTTTGGTTTATTTTAAATATGTGGCTCATGTCAGAATACAGATTACATACTTCTGGCTTGAGAAACCACTGCAAAATCTGTCAAACTGATGGTATTAACCTAACAGAGAAGCAGAAAATTTAAGAGACAGGGTCAGTATACTGAGGCTAAATTTATTTAAGATTTGAGAAAGGAAGGAGAAAAAGAAATACATCATCTTAAATATCTTTGTTATTTTGGTAGTATAGTTGATTAAAATATTAATTTGTAAGAACTTTGTTAATTCACACTAATAATTGAGAGATGCACTTCAGATTG